TAATGATGGACTCCCCAATCAGCATGGTTTGCTAAGTTTACCTTGTTAGTCTGGGGCCTTAGATTTTTATGAGTGAGAGAGTCTGGCTTTTAGAGTGCATTAATTTAAAAAGCGCTTGTGGTATTTTGGAATTAGGAAGGGAGGGAATGCTGCTTTGATGACGTGAAAAATTTGCCCGGATCCCCTCGCCTGCTTAATATGTGATAAATAATGGTACAGGCCACATGTTTCAGGATATTGAGTACTCGGGAAGAATTCGTAACCATGTGATTATGAAAACAACCAATTTCCATAAGTGAAAATGAGCGTGCTTGTTAAGGGGGCGGCAGTTGCCTATTGCATTCAATCCCATTTGTAACTAGCAAGGAGAATGAGGGTTTTGCATGATTTAGTATTTACAAAATTATAGTTGCACGGCAACGCTCACTCTCCTAGTGGCTTTGGGAGAAAGCATATGTGGTCCTTGTGCAGGTAATAAAATGGAAAATCCAATTTGCAATTGCAGAATAAGCCTCTGAGTGATATATGATCTTCATAGCAGCATTGGTCAGAGGGTCACCGCTAATCGTGGCGCGGGCTGGCTTCCCCTGTGGCCCAGGCCTTCCCGCTGAAGAGTGAGCACAGTGAATCTCTGTCTGGGAGCCAGTCAGCGTGTCTGTAGATGCACCACTCTCTAGCTTATTAGATCCTCTTTGTCACAGTGCTTAATCCTGCTGCCTGATCCTTGTTAGAACACCACCGGCGCGCCGCTCGGGCTTCTAATAAAGGAGTTGGGTGAGGGCTTCTAACTAGACGCACTGGAGCGTGCGGCAGTCAGGGCGTTTGCTGCCTGACTGACAGTGGGCTGAGATGCTTCCTGCATGTTATTACTTAAAAGGGAACCCACCTCCGACAGCTGACAGATGAGCCTTGCCGAGGCAAGGGTAACTTGTTGCTAGGCCAATAGGAGACGGGTGTCATCCTTTCACACAGCATAATGGCCCAGCTTTACTCTAATTATATTAACCCTCTTTTGAAATTGCTGCATCCCAGGCTGGCACAGAGTGAGGTTAGAGAGCCGGAGACAAATAGTCGGCAGGGAGGATTAGAACTGCACAGAAGCAGAGATTGTGTTATCCACCGGTGACATTAAGTTGAGAAACAAAATAAGCACACCCTGTTACGCCAAGCCCGGTTATAACTCTGAAGAGTCAGTGCTCGGCGTGGCTCGTGCGGTTTCCATCTCTGTCATCTGCCTGCTTTAAGGTTTGCTATGGACATTAAACATGATTTTCATGGTTCTTTGTTAAAAAGAAAGCACAGCCTCAACCATAAAGCTATTGTTTTGTTTTGTTTTTTTCCCCCAGTGAACCTGAACTGTTGTTTTCTATTAGGCTGCTCAGTTTGGTAGCTCTAGGAAGCACCCATGAATTTGACTCAGTAGCGTTGTCGTTTGATGCTAAAATAAACAATTGGGGGTGGGAGAGGGTAACCCAGTCGCTCCTCACCCCCACTGCAGCTAGAATGTACAGTTGACTTTGAAGCGATGTAAATGAAGATACCCATGAATAGCCCATGGTCCTCTCCGTGTGCCCCAACTTTCAGACATCAGCATAAGACTCCTTTTCCCTGAAGGGAGTGTGTCTAGCTCGCATCCAGCGTTTCCTGCCTGCTCCAGTTAGCAGATGTCGTTAGCAACCCCCTATGCCTCTTCTGTCTCCGCTGACAGCACGTAAATAGAGACATTGCTGGGGATTGACAGATCTCCAGGGGGTTAGAGTCTGCAGACGGAATGGCCCAGAGAACACGGCTGACCTTTCTTGGCATTATTCCCCTAGGTCTGTCTTCCGTGTGTGGCGATCAGGGAACATACAACTTGAGTATGTTACTCTCAGAGGATTGCCCCTGAAAAAACTGCCGGCTTAGTCAGAGGCTGTTAGTAGGTCAACAAGAGGCTGTGTACCTTCCAAAGTGGGTTAATAGGTTGTTGATAGTAAAGGGCAGGCTCTTCTTTCCCACAGAAATATGCACCTGTATGTTAAGTTCAAGGATACTCCATTAAAACCTGCTTTGCTCATAAGACACCTGTACTCTTGGATTATTGGAGCAGGCCTTGGACCTGGGTGGAAGGGAGCTTATGATGCAGAATCTTCTTTCTCTTGCTGTCCCCTGGAACTCATTCCTGGGCAAGTTTGGAATAGCTGAGGCTTCTCTGTGGGGTCCTTCCTAGGCCCTCTGCTGGGTCCACGTTGCTCTCACTCTACAGCTTGCTGAGAAATGCTCTGTGCTCCAAATATAGCTCTTGCCGCTCTTCTTCCCCAGAGTGAAAAAAATAAAAAAATAAAAAACAAATAAATCGTATTCCTGTGATTCCTGTCTGAACCAGATATCAAGGGGAAGCCAATCCATTTGAGTTAATCCATGGTAACAGGTAAATGATGGAGAGTCCAGGATGGTTGTTCAACAGATAAAATTCTACCCAGTAGAAATTCAGACTGTATTTCTCATTAGGATGACCAATTTGAGGGGACAAGAAAGAAAGATATTCAGGGCAGAGTCGCCACAAATATGGAGATTCCCCTTTCCTTAGGAATCATTTCATTTCCTTGTGCAATTTATACTTTTAATGGCTTTTTTTTCCTTATCCACTTTGGAATACATAATATTTTTCTGAAGGTGTCAGTTTTTTTTTCCATAGTTGATTCTATGCTGAGGTCAGTGGGCAGAGCTTACAGGCGGGAAGATGGTTTTGTATAAGCATAGATGGCTTATTAGGCGAATGTTTTAAGACAGATGTGTTCACCTCAATTGCCTCCACCCCTAACTTATTAGTGAATTGCTACACCATGGTACTGTTGCCTGGTATGTAGGCCCTTCTCTCAATGGCCATGCGTCTTAAGAACAGTGGGCAACGTATACACCGTATACACATTTAAGACAAAACACTTCAGAAATACAGACTTGTTTTTAAATGGAAGACTTTTTCCAGAAATTTCTGTTATATTCATTTTTAGGAGAAGTGGAAATTGGAGAAAAAGAAGTAATGAGAATGATCTGAAAGACAGGATATAGAGTATAGCCAGTGAAATCCTAAGAGGAAGTAAAAATTATAGAGAAATTTAAACAAGCAATCAATTGCATTCTTGGGAAAGAATGAACCCCCCTTTCCAAGTAAAGGTAAAACCAAAAGAAAGATGGATGCCAGTCCATTGCCAACAAGGTCACACCTGGTAAGATACCCAGCTGAGCAGAATATGTGCAACTCCTAGATTTTCATTACTCTAGGCAGTTTTCTGATTCATGGTTTAGAGAATAAAGCCCATTAATTTCCCAAATGATTTAACATCTGACTAACGATGTTTAACTGTTAAGATGAAGAAATTGACATATTGATAATCTTGGAGAGAAATGTATCTGCTTATTTTTGTGCTTAATACCAACAAATTCTAAGTAGCTTTGGAAAGATCATGATGAATTACTCACTCTTAATATTTAGTAGTATCTATTTTCTTTGCGAGGATTTTTATGAAATTGTAAACACTATTATATTGGTCTTTTCTTTCTCCATTTTTTTCTGAGTAGTTACAAGTTCATATACCAAAAAGAAGACAGATTCAAAGTATCAATTGTTTTAAGAAGAAATGTTACATCATCTTTCTAGTAAAAATTTTTATTTACCTTTTCATTTCTAAAGCTCAGATCAACTAGGAAATTATGTGCTTCATGGTATACTTGCATCCCAGAATGTGTTTTCAATTATCTTGAGTTACCAGTTATGACAAAATTGACAGTACAGCCTCAGAAAAGGACAAACATGTTACTTTGGTTGTGTCTTGGAAAGAATAATTGCTGGATATCTGTGTTCAAATAGCCTTGGGTTGTAAACCAGGAGTCTGAGAATGGAATTCCTCAGTAGGACTTTTAGAGAAAGGCCTTTGGTGGGTCCGTTGCCAAGTAAAACTGCATACATCTTCTGCTGCTAATCTTGCCTGCCGCATCTCTCTCTTTCCTAGGTGAGCGTGTTATAGGAAATTCTTTTGCACACTGCCTTTTCCATGTTTGAATATACCAAAAAGAAAAAAAGAATAGAGTTGACAGATCATCAACAGATGAGTGGCACTTGCTGGCTTTTTTATGCTACCTTCGTTAACTCATCCTTGGTTTATCTACATTGACGTGTAACCTTGAAGGTTTCACCAGCCGTTATAGAAAGACTACAAGATTTGGAGTCAGAAGCCTGAGGTTCAGATCCCCATTCTGGTGTTTTCTGATCTTGGACATATTACTTAATTTCCCCAAGTTTCCATTTCTTCACCAATAAAGTGATGTTAATAACTGACCTTAGGGATTGCTGGTGAATCAAATGAGGAAATGCTTTAAAAAAGGTAATTTGTAAAGTGATAAGGACTATACAAATGTGAGTTTCTATCATTACCGTGTTAACGAGATTCATTTAGTGCTGATTCTGAGATGTGCTTATGGTGCCTGAGTAATGCAATAATCATTTTACTTGGGCGATATTCTTATCTTCCTTGACTCATAGTCTGCTTTGGATGATGAAAAAAGTAGTGCTGATCCGATTTGGTTTAGATCAGAATTGCACAAGCAGTGATGTACATTGTCAAGACAGAGTTTCAGGAGGTTCTAATATTAACACTTCTCTCAATCTTGGATGGGGTCATTTTAGTCTCTGTAGCAAATACCTAGAAAAATCATATGCTACATTTGTAAGAATTCCTTCCAGGTTAATTTCTTCGTGCCTTGTTCCTTCTTCCACTACCTCTCTCCCTCCTTCCTTCCTTTCTTCCTTCCTTTGTTCTTAATTTCTCAGACTAGGGTACTGTCACTAACTTTGCTTCTGTACCGGTAATGATTTATGGTAAGAAATTCAAAAAAATCAGATCAAATGACCCAAAAGGTACTTAGGATTTCCTGTGGTTACTGGGCAGGACTTCTTATCCTGGTCTGTGTTGGATGAAATGACCTTCACCTTTTTTCTTTTTTTCCCTCCCTTTTTTCAGGAAACTTAGATTTAACGGGTCAGAAGCAGGTTTTCAAAGCAGAGAACAATCCCTGGGTAACCCCGATTGCTGACCAGTTCCAGCTTGGCGTGTCCCATGTGTTTGAATATATCCGTTCCGAGACGTATAAATAGTAAGTAGACTATGATTTTTTAAAGTGATAGACTGTGCTTTTATAGTATTTGTAATTATGCCCTTTGAAAAACCATCATGTGATGTTGTATTGGTGGCAGTTAGTTCATAACATTTTTAAATGTTTTATTAATCACCACATGTAGTAGTTGTCCCTGTATTTATAGATTATTTTAAGTGACAATTTCAAAGGAGATTTATACCAATTTTGTATAGAAAATTTTTAAGGTATTATATTAGTTGAATATTCATGGTGCTAAGGGAATTTGCCAGACACATCAAGATCAGAACATACCTTTTTCTCCTTTGAATGCAAAGAATAACAAATGTTATGAACAAAATTGTGAAGCAGCTTATTTATAAAATCAATAGAGAATACAAGGAAGCATCATTCTATTCTTTAGAAGCTTTTGCTCATGGGAGATGATAATCTCTCTAAGAGAAGAAAGAAAGGCAGAAACCGAGGCAGAGGAATCAGCTAGCTTGAAGTCGCAGCATCAAAATCTCAAGCCCTGGCGCTGCGACAAGGGTGGCTGAGGAGAGCCAGCCCTAAAACCTAACTGTTCCCACCTCTCTCTTCCTCACCGTGTCGGGGTTGGAGGGAATTCTGCTACTTGCACCTGCTCTGCTGTTGTGACATCTTCTGTCATTGTTGGCCCCTCATCCCACCCCCCCCCACATTGAAGTGAACATTCATCTCAATGCTTCAGTGACCCCTAAAGCTGAAATCAAGTTACCTCTAGTTTAAAGAAAATTCAAAAGACTTGAAAAAATCCATAGTCAGGTTTAATTTGTTTTTGTGTCCATTACCAACTTTTGAGAATTTAACAGCCAACTATTAGAGGCAAACTGGAGGATTGTTAAAGGTCATGTTCCATTAGGAGTCTCTTTTTTTGGTGTCAGAAGAATGCGGCCCCACCCAGCCCCCAGCCCTGACTGAACCTGTGCTGGGGTTAGTGGGTCAGTACTGACTGACAGGGCAGAATCCCTGCCTATGATTGGCCAGCCGTGGCTCTGTAGCCCTCCTCCCTGGATGCCATGCTTGTGGTGGTCCCACATCTAGGACTTAGCGTGCTCATATTTCCATGTGACAGGATCACAAAGAAGAGGAGCTGTGAAGGACAATGGCATTGAAACTAAATGGATTAAAATGACCGAAATGAGAGCATATCCTCATATATGAAAGCAGCTTAAAGCATGGTTTAGATTTCTTTTAAGATAATACTGTGACATTTAAAATATATCTTGAAGACTTACCTTAAGAGTAAAATGAGACAAATATAGGATGTGTTATTGTTTTATGAGACCCATAGTTATGTGCAATTATTATAGATATATAGTTTTTAAAAAATGAATATAGCTCAGCCTTGGAAATTAGTTAATTATGAAAATGTGTGAAAATATAATCGCAAATTAACAGATTATTGTTCATTTTGTTGCTCTTAAATTGTTAATCATCGCTATCATCGGTTTTAGATAGAAGTCTAATTTTTTGTTAGTAAATGGGAGCTTGGTTTGTAGTGTATCTTTTTAGAATTATTGTATGTATTTTAACACAAATAAAAATACACAAACAAGCTCCTATTAACCCAGAATTGGAGGAAATACTTTGTTTATAATTCTAGTTAACCATTTTTTATTTTGCCATACATTAATTTATAATTTACAGAGAATTAGAATGTGTTGCATAAGAAAGTGCATCTAATTTTAATTTCATTTTAAAAGATTAAATTGTGAATTTATGGATTTTGTATTACCTCAGAGTCATCATTAGGCAGTTAATTACCATTATATGCCATTACAAACTACTTCTATTTATTTGAACATGGTTAGGATTCTGGATGAATGAGAGGTGCGTTGCTTTGAATGAGTTAATATCTGAAAGGGAATGTGTGATACAACATTTTAATCAGTAACATAGTTGATGTGTATATTCTTATCTCTATTATTAACATTCTATATTTGAGGGTTGGAGTAATCTAAGCAATTTGCCTACCAGCTATTTTTTCTGTGTTTGATTTCCTCATGGGGAATTATATTATCTTTTATACAGTTAGGTCAACATTAAAAATCTTAAGTAAGCATAGGAGAGCCATTGTCCCCTTTCTAGGGGGACCAGTCAGTACCCCAGGCACTGGTTTTAGAGGTGTCTCCGTGAGCATCTTCCAGGAGAATACACTTGCGCTGAGCTCTGGGAGCACAGGGGCACTTGGCGAGTTCCCTTAGAGTTCTGTTCTCCCCTCCTTGGGAATATAAGAATGGTAACCGCTCCTTTATTTTAGCTTCTCTGTCCTCTCATTCTCCCATTCTCGTTCTCCCAGCCCAAAACACGGACTATTAACTAAATAAGATGCTGCGTCAAACTCTTAGTGTTTTTTTTTCTTTTCCTCAAAGCCCCAAGCATGGTTGTATATCCTAGTTGTAAGTCCTGCTATGTGAGCCACCACCACAGCACGGCAACTGACAGACAGGTGATGTGGTTCCGCGATTAGGCAGCAAACCCGGCCACTGAAGCAGAGAGTGTGGAACTTGAACCCAGCAGGCCTTCAGGGCTGGCTCTCTTAGTCTTTGTTTAAAAAGTACTTGTACAGAAATGCCACTGTTATGTTTCACTGATTTTTAAAATTTAAGGTCCTCTTTTATATGAATAGATATATATTACTATATCCTCATGTGACTAGACTCTAACTTCTCTAATTTTTTTAACCAGCCACTACATAATTAGAGGACTTTTAGTATCTGAAAAAATAGTATTGTAATTATTAGGTACTTGGCTACTTGTGTGTGTGTGTGTGTGTGTGTGTGTGTGTGTGTGTGAGGAGAATGGGCACTGAGCTAACATCTGTGGCCAATCTTCCTCTTTTTGCTTGAGGAAGATTGTCACTGAGCTAACGTCTGTGCCAGTCTTCCTCCATTTTGTATGTGGAACACCAACGCAGCATGGCTTGATGAGCAGTGTGTGGGTCCACGCCCGGGATCTGAAGCTGCAAACCCTGGGCTGCAAAAGTGGAATGTGCAAACCTAACCACTACACCACCAGGTGGCCCTTTGGCTACCTCTTTAAAGCTGTACATCTGGCGACCTCCAAGGAGGCAATTTATTCATTACGCTTGTATTATTTAAAAAAAGCAAATTTCACCTTCAGTACTTTAGTCTTAGATCTTGTATTCTAAAACCTGTAGTTTCTAGTCTTCACTTCTTTGTCTGTTTCACGTAAGCCACGTACACCCCTCCGAATAAAAAAAGATCCTTTTTTTATATATAGATCTTCAGAGTACCACGAAAGCATATCTTAATTTTGTTTTGGCACTTAGAATACCAGTGCATCACCTTCCTTTTTTTTTTTTTTCATTTTTCTAACCAGTTGACCCATTACCTCAGTGAGAGCACTAAAGAACTTACCAGCCTTCCAGTTTCATTTCCATTCACGTCTGTGGTCGACTTTCACAGCGACCTTCGTGTTCTAAGCACATCCTCGGAGGCCTTCTGAGTCTAGAGCAGCGACAGGCAGAGAAGATGGATTATCTGATTTCCAGGCTCTAATAGACTCCAAGAGGAGACATGGATGTTTGAAACAAAACAGTGAAGTCAGTGTTTAGAAGAATTAACATAGTTCGTGATAATTTAACTTGATGGAGGTAGGAACTTGTGCACTTACGCAGGAGGAGATGTGGGTAGGTGTGGCTGGGAGGGTGGGGAGGTATACTTCTTGAGGACATTGGTCTTTGGAGTACATTTGGGCATTCATCATGTCCTCCTCATCATTTCTCAGGTGGAGATAGCTCTTTGTTTGTTTATCATTCTTTCAGCACGGGGGGGGGGGGGGGGGGGGGGGGGGCATATTGGCTGGTGTCATTGCATTTGCAGTTAATCTCCCTTTGTCAGAGTAAAGGAGTTTGCTCGGTCGGGTTGTTGAGGATCAGATCCTACAAGTACATTAGGGCTATTGTTGAGTTACTCCCTGCTTGAGGGTGGTTCTCTCCAGGTTTGACCTCTTTTATTTCTGTGGAGCAGAATGATGATAGAATAGTCACTGCTTGTTAAGTTTCCAGAAGGTGGAATTTTTTCCCCAGGAGGAGAAGTCAGATTGGAGTCGGGATTCTTGACAAGATTCTTTGTGAAAGGGAGTAACTCACACTTTTCACATTTCCATCAAGGAAGGTGGATAGAAACGGCAAGCCATTTTAGAAGCTGACAACTTAACTCTTAACAAAAGAAGAGGTTTGACAAATGTTAGGCTGAGAACGTGTTGGCTGAAAGAGGCGTTTGGGAAACAGGCATCGTCATGAAGGCTGCAATTTGCAAAGCATGGCAGGCCTAAAGCCTCATTTCCAGGGCGGCATCACACCGAGGATGCTTCATCATTCTTCCTGTCTTGTGGCTATGTTTTCGCTCTAGGGAGAGGTGCCACACTCACTCGCTTTTTATTTTGTTTTTTGATCTTAAATGAACATGGCCATACTATTGTTCATGTTAGTTAATGGAAGCATTTTAACAAAGCAATGCCTGGTGAATGGTGGACAATAGTGAGGAAAATGCTGGCAATTTCTCTTCACTAGAAATCTAGCAAAATAAATTATCCTGTTTAATTGATAAGAAAGAAGACTTTATCTGCTGCTTATTGTTTCTCCAGTTGTTTTACTTGTGAAATTAAAACTAAGTAATGTTCTTTTTTTCCTGTACTGTGTGCAAACCTAGCAGAGGCTAAGATGGACATAAATGGGCTTTATTAAACAACTACTATATCCTTAAATGGCTGCTGAGTCAGTGGCCTACAAGATCCTTAAATAACAGATATGTCTGGTCTACCAAAAGGCTAAAGCATTTCAAATTTAATGGGCGACCCATTCGTATTAAGACTGTCCCTTGCAGAAGGAAATCATATCCAACAAAACTGTATAAACGTTATTATTTTCTGATGAAGTGTAAATGGATGCACAGAACTATCAGATGTTTTTATAAATATCACAGAAGGATGGAGGAGAGGGTTAACCTGCCAGG